AAGGGTTTAACAGGAATTCATCGAGATCGTGGAACGATGCGTCGAGGACCTTGTGGAACAGATATTCCATTAAAACTCCGAGGCGATCCTTCTACGAGACTTCCAGCGAGACTAATCTACGACTACTTTTACTCAACTTTTTTCACGAAACGAAAGGAATGCAAACATTGCTTGGATAAGTCTTGAGTTGACCTTTTCTTTCGAAAGACCAGAAATCATATCGTCTTTCATTCAAATGGCTTTTATATGGTCAATTTAAAGGCTATATCATAATTGGAAACGATTAAAATTCGTCCATTTCATCATCATTCACACGGAATGATATTAATCTCTTGGCTAAAATCTGCAAATTAAGTGGGTTTGGCGTTATCTTCTAGGAGCATGTTAAATGCTGAAAGGTTTTTCGTCAACCCTTTGCCGCAATTCCAACCTTAGTTGCTATGGCAACATTGACTAGATAACAGCAAAGCTTTGGTAGGTGAATCGTGCTAGAGTAAGAGAAGAGTCATGAAGCACAAGAGAGCCTCAGATAAGATAGACTTAAAGTAGAAAATCGAAAACCTTATTAATGAAGGGGTGCTCTGATGTAAGCCTTACGTGAGCAGACAGCTAGATTCCCGTAAGTCGAATTAGCTGACGAATGGGATGAAATTTTCTCTGGTAACTATGCCGATTAATAGGTTGGATAGTAAAAAATATTATACTATTAAACGAATAAACTAAATAGTGATGATAATGGGTCCTTATTCAGCATTATCAGCCTCGCCTCGGTCCCACAAACAGCCACGATGGGATTCAAAGCGTGAATGCGTGGGTTTAAAGGTAAACGCGTTAGGGCACAAGTAATTGTGACAATTAAAATAAGTTTGAAATCCGAAAAAATGTTAGCAATTGTCCTAACCGCCGCCAATTTCATCTTTGGAAATAGAGGCTCGGCGTTCCGAGCTGGCCGAATAGGCCAGGCCGGTTGGGAAACTGGAGAATGAGCGGAATGCAGTTTCCGATGCGGCTGGGGCCCCGGTGGTCGTCGTAGCCGCAGCAGCTGGCCAGCCAATGGCTGTCTTGCGCTTCAAGTAGGCCTGTGGCCGAGGATGACGTTGATGAGATGAGGTAGGGGCACATTGAAGTCGATTAATGGGAGAAATACGAAAGAGACACAAGAAAAAAGTGGAAACAAAAAGTAAGCAATTAGAATGTAATGGGCTATAGTCGATCGGCAAGAAGATTCGGAGTGGGAAAGATAGGATGGGAATCTAGAAAGCCCACAAGAGATGGAGAGTATGTTCCCGGCTGACTGAGAAGACACGTTCGAGAATTCGATATGCAATACAATGAAATAAAGAAATTTTTAATAAACTCATGGTGAGCAATCGTGTTATTTCACTCATTTATTTGTCTTCTAACTTTTCCCAATGTAGTGTTGTTTCGTATCACTCAAAAGTGTGTGGCACAGTTTCTTGCAAGCATATGCGAAGGAGGGGTTTTTTGACCAACTTCGCTAAAAGATAAAGAATGCTAGGTTTGGTCCGTAGCAATACTCCTAAAAAATTAGATTTTGGCATCACAGCTGTGCTACCGACACAGAATACAACTTTGGGGAATCCGTGATGAACTTTCGTCTGTACTATGAACAATGCGTTTAGAGCATATATGCATAAAAGCAGGGTTTTGAAGAATCCCTTAGTGATTTAGTGTAACATGACTTTACATTTCGAAGGAAAAATTTGGTTGGATGAAATTCATGAATTTGTTTCACCAGCACACGAAGGAAAAGAATGCTTCAACATTGCAGGATCATACGTTTCGATTATTTAAACAATGAAACAGTTGCAACATGATCTAGCCAACCAAATCATCGGATGTCTCATTATGACCGCAAATTTTGGTATAGAAAGTGAGATTGCTTGCAGCGGGCCACCCTTGCTGCCTGGCCCATTGTGTAGTTGGTGCACTTTTTCTTAAATTATGCCTTCCCATTTTGACATGACATGGCAGACGAAAGTTTGACACGGACTCATCGGATTCGCAGGAAGGTGAGTTGATGACTTTTTGGAGCAATCTAAAAGTCTTCACTCGGCAGAAATCCTCATTCGGGATTCAGTGAGACCAATTCAAGAATTCCTACCAACCAATTTTTCCTTTGAAATGAAAAGTCATATCAAAGTCTCCAGAGTAGAAGTGATCAAATTCATTGTAAAGTCATATTCAGCAGATTGTCTCTCACTTGCAATAGAAAAGTTACTCATGAATTAGGCATACAATCATGGTCCATGCCAATTAAACAATCACCTTTTCAGCTCTCTCGTCAGTCTTTCCGATAAAAGTTTTAAGAACACTTTATGAATTAAATACGAATATCCCTGAGATTGGACTCAATGAAATGGCGACAAGTGGGCTTCAGCAACCATAGAAGATGCCAAGTCTTTTTCAGAAGTATGTCTGCTCCAAGTCGTCGTCAACGAGAATATTCCTGTCCTATTGTAAGGAGATCCATCATACACAACAAAATCTCACCATCGTCCTCCTATTACAGCAGCAAGCCAGCTCAAAACTTAATCAGCCACGAAGGTATCATGTCGAGCCGAGTAGTAAGAGTGATCTTCACATCACCATTGGAGATGATGCTGTCAATATTATCACCAAAATATTCGTAACTACCAACAGCACCGGTCTTACCAATCATGAAATTATCATTCTTGCTATTCCTATTCTTATTCTTCCTATTCATCCCATTATTCTTATTCTTCTTTTTATTATGATTAATATTTGTCATCATCATCCCCATTACTACTACTACTACTACCAATACTGCCACTATTACTACTACTACTACTACTATAATAATAATAATAATAATAATAATAATAATAATAATAATAATAATAATA